TTAGTTGTGAAGCTTTCCAAAAGTTTCCAAAAGTCAGTGCGCACTTTTAGTTCTATGTCCATTGATTCATTCCCTTTTATTCTAATTAATATTCCAGATGTCTTCAAAGTTAGGTTTCTTAATTTCCTTTTATTTTAGTATTGCCAGAGTAGCTCCAGAGGTAGCTAGCTAAGGATTCCTTATTAAATTATCAATTGATTGATTTTCTTATACATTATATTGGAGGCCTTGGTTGTTGAGGGGGGGGGGGAGTTTATAAATCAAGGGTCGACATTACTGTTGGAATTGTTTGGGGGTCTTGGCCTAGTCATCTTGCTCATCGTTTCTTCGCTTCAAAGAGAGAATGCTTGTCGTCGGCCTGAAGTAGGTTGTTGTACTCGTACACGCCGACCCAATGTCCAGCCATCTGCATTTGGTTCATCCTCAGCTTCCAGACGCTGCGACACCGACGTCCGAGGCCTTGCCCACGGTCTCGACCTCCGCCGGTGAACGAGTCGGTCCGATCCTGAAAGGATCGATCCTGAAGGACCGCCCCGCGAAGGGCACCGACGGTCGGTGTCTACCGGTCCCGGTCACCGTGAGGGCAGTCCCGGTCAGGTGTGATGTCCAGAGACTCGGTCGCTTAGACTCCTGACCGTTTTGGCACATTTGGGGTGATCGCGACCGAAAGGTCTGTGTAACCAAGCCTGGATATGTACAAAACACCCAATCAACTATGATTCAGATGCGTGTGGTAAACTACAAAGCGACCGAAGATCATGTATGTGCCTGTGGATGAGAGGTCCACGTGTGTAGGGCCACGAGTAGGACAACGACTTGGCGTTCAAAACAAGAAGGGTTCAACTTAAATGTGTTGGAATTGTTCCGTCCGCCTTGTCTTCAAGGCGTTGTCCTGCACACCTAATCGCACCTATACACGGGTAAGGGATCAAAAAAAAAATAAAAATAGAATCAAAAAAACATATTCAACGGGGATCAATAAAAAAATAATAAAAAAGGTAATCAAAAAAAAAATATTCTAGCACACTGAGGATGGTTGGGGTAGTAGTAGTAGCAGTAGCAGTAGCAGTAGCAGGAGCAGCAGCAGCAGCAGCAGCACCAGCGTAGCAGTAGCAGTAGCAGTCAGCAGTCAGCAGTCAGCAGTCAGCAGCAGCAGCAGCAGCCGTCAGCAGTCAGCAGTCAGCAGTCAGCAGTCAGCAGTCAGCAGTCAG